CACTGAGGAGCTGTGCATCCATGCAGCGTTCCCCACCACCCCACTGAAAAATGCGGAGGATGAGGGCAGTACAGTTTTTAAGTCCCTTAACCATCTTGTCTCTGAGCTAGCTAACTAGGACTGCAAATCCCTGGTGATAATCACAGACACCATGCCTGCGAGCTTTCCCTCGGACCATTCATTTTGCTTGATGATGCTTTAAAGAGACATCTAATGAGGATAATCTGATTCAAATCCCCTCTGCTTTTGGGTAGGCAGACCAATTTAGCCCCCCTCACACTCCTTCTTCCCCAGTGCCTCTCTTTATTTCCCCTTCTCATATGAATCACTCTGGGGTTTCCTTTGCTCTTTGCACTGCTATTTCGATTTTTTGATATGACCACCGCAATCAATATTCACTCAATTTAGAGCCTCATTAGCATGAAATCAGATTCACTTTTTACTCACATCCTCTCGGCGATACGTTGCTGGATGGTGCTTCAGCCCTTACATCGGGTGCAGGAACATCACAACCTGGTTACAAACTTTCCTCCTTATCTGATTAAATCAGAACCGCTTACAGGAGATCCACACACCCAGGCCACAATCAAGTCGAGCTCTGGGGAGGGAGAAGGTCTCAATCACAATTGTCTTTCAATGCAGAGCAGATGGTGAACGTACCACCTATATAATTTATAGGACACCATCACTACCTATTAGTCCCGTGCAGTGGCTGAGCAAAGCCACACCAGAGCTCAGCATGCTGGCAGCAGCCTGGTGTATGTGAGAGCCCACATGCATCATAGGTGTGTGGGCTGGGGGATGTCACCCATCTGCTTACACCCACGGCACGGAGCAGGGGACATAATGCCATAGCCCCCATCCCAGAGGGAGTTACCAGGACTGGGGCAAACGCCACCCAGCCCACCAACTTGTATACAAAGTAGGTCAGCATTATGCAACATCTGCACACAAGCAGCTCCTCGGCGTTTCCCCAGGAGCAGCTCGCACGCAGCAGCAGGATGGATGCTGGGGTGCTGTGAGGCCAGGCACCAGGCTTTGCTATGCGTCGCTCCTTTTGGTATCTAAAGGAGGGGTGGGGGGGGTATGAGAAAGAAGGGGACAGACTATTTAACATGATCTGTCAGGATAGGGCAAGAGGAGATGGTTTCAAGCTAAAAGACGGGAGATTTAGACTGAATGTAAGGAAAAAAGGTTGTTATAATCAGAGTGGTGAGGCACTGGGGCAGGATGCCCAGAAAAGCAGTGGATCCCCGCCCCTGGAGAAAAAAAGTCAGGCTGGAGGGGCTCTGAGCATCCTGATTGAGTAGTAGGTGTCCCTATTCACTGCAGGGGAGTTAGACCGGATGGCCTTTAAAGGTCCCTTCTAACTCAAATGATTCTGTGATTTTAGGATTCTCTGCCTGCATGGCTGTGCATACAGTTTGCTGAGGCTTCTGAAGCCTGGGAGCGAGGAGGGACAGGCAAAGCTGCAGCATCTCTGCGTCCACAGTGCCCAAGACTCCCTCCCCTGCCCTTTACCTCAGCGCCTCAGGGTTTCCCCAGCTCCACCACCTTTGATCAGCACAGGGCCCCCGAGTCACAGGGGGGATGAGGTTTAATCAAGCAGTGCTGGCCCATGGCTGTACAGAGAGCCACAGGTAGCTACAGACATCACCCAGCTGAACACAGCTCAGGCTCCACATCTGTCAGCTCTGCTGAGCTAAAGAGGGAGCAGAGTAGGGGAAAAAAAGCCATGTGTGTTCATGCTGGGGTGATGCCAACACTGCTGTCAAATGGAGGCAAGCAGCCAGCACGGAGGCGAGAAGAGCTCTGAGCTGACCATTGCCAATAACAACGGCATCTCACGGGCCCCTCAGCCTCCATAAGCGCTTGTGGGTCACACCATGAGCATGGAAGCCAACGCGGCACGTTTATCTGGGCTGTTTTAGGTATTGCCTGTGCTCACAGCAATGTCCCTGCATGGTTCCTGCACACAGAACACCCGCCCTTGAGAACACCTCAGCTGCTCGGGGCACAGCTCACTGCAGCACAGGATGCAGGGGGACAGAGGATACAGCAGCCCACGCACGGGGACCAGCTTTCCAGGGGGAGGTGGCTTCTGTCTTTGTTTTCATCTTCAACCCACCTCAGCGCTCCTTCCTGTGACGTGCAGAGCCCCTGGGGCTCTTGCACCCAGCCCGCAGCTGCACCTGGCCCAGCGGGGACGTGTATGTAAAGCACAGGCTCTTTCACACACCGCTGACTTCCTCTTGCCAAGGACACAGCGAGGAGGATGGCCACGGCTTCCGTAGCTGCCTGCAAAGTCAGACGTGCCATACAGCCCCTCGTGACACCGTTAGCCCAAAGGGGACCTCAGCACCACAGCACGTGGCAGCCCCTCCTGGAGCCCGTGGGCCAGGAGCTGCTTGTTTGAGGGGGCTCTGAGCGAGGCATGTCACCCCCCAAGCCTCCCGCATGCCACTGCTCCTGTGCTCCAGCTTGTCACATCCAAGCCAGCCCGAGGGGATCCATCCTGCCTCGCATCTCCGTGCCGTATTAATATTTAACGGTGAGGGAGAGAGAGCCAGAGACTTTGATTTCTCCCACCAGCCAGCTCAAGGACAACTCCGCAGCACAGGGAATTTCAGTGCTTCAGAAGGTGGGTTTGGGCTGGTTCACAACAGAACTCAACCACATTGCATTGCCCCAGGAGAAGGGTGAACTCAATACTCCATGAGAAAGGCAGGAGCTTGGTTTTAGCCCCCTTGCCATAGGAATGGACACCGAGCAGCACTCCTTTACATCAGAATGATGGCAAACATCAAGCTCTGCTCATCAGGACAACGCCAGCCCAGATTTACAGCCCCAAGGACACCAAAATGCCATGCCAATGTCAACTCACTCCCACCGCAGAGGAGGCAGCTCCTGTTTCATGTGCAGTGCCAGCAAGGCACAGCGAATTTTAACACACGTGCCCAGAGTCATGCAAGAGATCAGTTACAGAGACCAAGGGAACCCAGGGATTCTGGCTCCAGCTCTGGGCTGTGCCAGCTCTTGCTCTCTCTTGCATATAAATCCTTTTTCCCCACCAGTGAAGGACAGCTGGTCAGTGAGCAGAAAGTGGCAGCTGATCAACAGCCAGCAGCGACATGGCACATCAGTGTAGGGTGGGAGGCAGAGAAGGCTCGGTGAGCAGGGGGAGCTGCCAGGTGACTTGGGCCAGCAGAAGGAAGAGCAGCTTGGGTCTGACCTGATCAGAGCCCTACAGAGCTTCTATAGTCAAGGAAGGTCAGAAACCCCACAAAAGGAAACACCTCCTCTGCTTTCATGCTCTTTCCAAGGCATGCAGCAGACCAGATACCTCTGCAACTCAGGGCAGCACAGCAGTCTTTCCCTGCCCCCCTATCCCAGCCAAGCCTCTGCCAACTGCAGATCTCATGAAGTAGAAACATTTGGGTTTAACCAAAGATCTCCAAAGCTAATACAAGAGCTGGCCTTGAATCTAAATCTCTACCATCAGTTTCAAGATTCGGAGGGCAGGCAAATTGCATGTGCTGGGTTTATCTCTGCTGTTACAGGATAGAGATCATTTACTCCAGGCCCATAACAGTACACAGCTTCTTTCCCCTGGTAGCACAGACTGAACATACCATGTGTCTTATTATGCCTAAAAATTGGTCTGATTTAACTAATGCGGTTGCAAACCCAGCAGAAAAAAAAGCTTCTCTTGGAAAACCTGGGCCTACAGAGAGCTATAATCCAAGCAGCTAATGCTAACTGTGCCCATTTGTGCTAAAATCTCTTACCTCTATGTGCAGCTCAGCCAGCCGGGTGAGGACACAAAATCTTCCTCCCATGGGTCACACTGCAGCAGCAGACAAGTCCTCATTACAGCCTCACTCAGCGCTGCATGACCAAAGCTCACTTTAGTGCAACTGGTGTAAGCTCTTCTATGCTAACCAAACTGCTTTTACACTAATTTCGCTGGCACACAACTGACAAAAATACATCCACAAAGTAAAGTAGCCAAAGCAGCAAAGCTCATAGGTACTCTTGCTAGAGAGAGGGAGATTTTTCATCGTAGACCTCCAAAGAAATAGGGAATTGAGGCACAGAAAGATAAAAAAAAAAAAATCCAGAATATTTCTATTAGTTTAGGTTTCAGCTAGGCTGACAAACTCTTTTGTGATGTTTGAAGATGACAACAGAACCTAAGTGAGTAGCCTTAGCTCAATTCCAGGCACTCCAAATCTCTGTTCTGAATCCAAGTACTACTTTCACAAGGCCATTATCAGATATTAGCATTGGCTATTCCATCTAGATGGGGGGGGTATCCTCAGCTGCCTTGTCTGCTCAGCATTGTTATGCCCTGCCTGAACTAATAGCTGACAGTTCCTAGAGGTATTTACACAGTTGTAGCTGTAGCTTTAGATGTGTCCCAACGACTTTCAGTTGTAAAACATGATGGACCTGAGACACAGTGTCATATTCTTAGATACGCTCCACTTCCCCTGCCAGCTCTATTAAAGACTTTTTCCTAAGAGTAAGAAAAATATTTGCCCCTAGGTGAAGTGAGACGTTGCTCTTAAGGAACTAGATTTTATTTTGTAGCAGCTAGGACTCAGCCACCTGTGGGCAGTACCAACAGTACCTCTCTGCTTAGGAAGTGGTAGAAGGAAATGCCCTATCCGATCCACTATGCTTGAAGGTGTTGGACAGCAATACATGGGGGTTGCTACAGGGGTGAACCAAAGAAATTTTCATTTTCATCAGTTAAAAATCAGATTTTACCCAAGCTCGGGAGTTTTCTGGGGGAGCCGGAGAGCAGCCAAGGAGATGAAAGCCTCCTGACCTTACAGCAGTTGCAAAGAACACACAAGAATCACTCTTTTCTCATTTGGTGCCACAGGCCTTCCTCTCCTCCCCTCCCCTTACTGCACCTGTACACTGAGAACAAATTGAAACCAGTCTATTCTGAAACACAGTCTCATTTATTCAGAGGAACCCAAAGTCAGAGTGAAGCTCAGCCACCATAACCAACAGAGAAACTGGTGTTTCAGTCTCTGGTGATAAAGTCCTCGCAGGCATTGGCAGGATCGCAAAGCTGAAAGTAGGGCAAGCCCATTAAGCTCCCCATCCTTCTTACATGGCCATGAGACTTCGCACATCTTTCTCCTCTGGGTTTTAGCCATAGTCCAGCCCTTTTGGACACCATAACACAGCTGAGCGGTTTAGCTCCTTTGTTCCAGCTGACAAACATCCTATCTCTCCCCTGCCAGCAACAATACAACTGGAGCTGGGATTTGTGTGTCCTCTGAGCAAGGATACAGGCTTTGCGTCTTGCTGAGCTGTCTTTGCAAGGACTGCCAACACTCACAGTTGATTAAGCCTGCAATGCTGCTTTCTCCTGCTCATAGACAGATGTCAGAAACAAGCTAAGCAAAACAGCACATGCAGCTACAGCTCTGCACCTAGGAACATTAAAGCAGACTATCAGGGATTAAGTTAAACTGCAGAAGAGCTTAACAGATCCTGTCAGAACTTATTTCTACCTGGCATGCAATTCTGGATAAGAAACAGCCCAATATTTCAAGAAACAACCTATTCTGTAAGGTGGTCCAATTCAGCTTACAAAAGCATCATATTTTGAAAGGTTTTGCCACCACCATGTGGCCGAAGCAGTGACTGCAGCCTACCAAGTCACAACTCACAGGACGTTAGAAATGCCAGCAAGGACCAGTTCCACTGCCTGGTCTAATTGGGAAAAGCATTCATAGGTTTTAAAGCCCATCCTACAGACCTAAACAAAGAAATCATACCAATTAATATTATATATTTTATTAATTTAAAACTCCAAAACACACTACTGACTGGCAGTAAGAATAAGGCATGAATTACTGCTGATAGGAAGCTATTAGTTAAATAATTGCACACATCATATGCCCAACTTGCAAGAGTCACCGTGTGTTTCAGTATGCTGCTATAGTCCTGTTGGCTTTCATCTCTGGTCAGCTGCAGAGTGCAGAGCCTCAGCCCTACAGATGCTGGAGGGAAGAATGCAGTCCTGCAGCTCTCTGAACCAAAACTGCCCAGTTTGCAGAGGCTTGCTGGAAGCCAGCAACTTCCATTATTCTCAGATTTGATTCTCTGGGAGCATAAGAGAGAAAAAAAAAAAACAATTCTGTGGTTTTAATTTGGGAATAGGGGCTGATTTTCAGTAGTAACTGCCTATTTCTCCTACTGCGGCCTGTCTGTAAGGACTGTATCCCAAATACTGCCACATCTATTACAGCCATCCTCATTTCTTAACTCGCAGAAAGTTTGACATCTTCAGATAAATCTCTCCTTGGTTTGCAGGAGCTGACTTGCAGCAGCACAGTTCACAGCTGTTCAAGTCAAATTATTTTGTGCTTAAGAGATAAAGCCTTTTTCTCTAAAGATTTAAAAGAAAGCTAAAGTGCTAGATTATCTTCTTCAGTCCCTTCCTCCCTAGTTATGTGCCAGGCATGGAAATGCTGAGCCCTTCAGTGGGCAGATGCTCACACAGCTGGATCATTAACTGCCAATTGCAGCATATCTTGAAGCTGAAGGACTGCCTTTCTCCCTTGTTACTCTCTTGGTGAGGAAACAAAGTCTGCAGTGAGGTTCTGCATTAATCCAAGGTGCTACATTGCTGTTGAGAGGAAGCAGAAGCCTGCTGCCTCACCTGCTGCCTACAGAAATTAAGACACTCAACCATGATAAGCCGCATCTGGGATTAGTTGCCTGTTTTACTGAGAGAATATGTCATTCCTGGCCAATAGCAAAGTGGCTGAAATCCAAAACCCATCACACAGTGGCATTCAAATGTAACAACAGGTAGGGAACCCTAATTCAAACTATCCTCTCCTCACCTATACTTTATTCACTCAATAGGAATCATTTTTTTAATTATTATTTTTTTTAAATAGACTAACAACTACAAACAGCTCTGGAAGAGTGGTTGTAACAAATCCGGCAAGAAAGCTTCCCAATGCAATTCCAAGTGCAGCAGCTCAAATGCCTTGAAGTAAAGAAAAATGATGAATCTGGATAAATTCTCACATCAAGAGGCTAATCACCAGCAGAGTTCCTCATCAGCAAGCTGAAGTACATGGCAGAAACTCCTGGTACACGACCAGCACAGATCTGTAGCATCCGGAGAAGTCGCTGAGCAGTGGCAACTCGTATCCCTTCCAGCTGGAAGCAGAACAGAGAAGTTACTTAATAGGAAAAAAAAAAAAAAAAAAAAAGCAGTGATTAACTGTGATAAAAGAAAGAATTGGAACCAGCTCTAAGTATGATTCAGAGCTGCTAGTTACAGAAAACACCCATGAGATTCATTTACTCCCCGAATGCTAGAGGAAGGGCAGAGTTATGCCAGCTGAAAACCCTAAGAAAGTTTCAAGTGCTCAAACTCACTGATACTGATTTGCTGAGAGAGGCAGCAGCAAACAGAAGGACAGCCAAAGGCACAAATATTATCTGCTGATAAGGAAGCAATCCCTGATGATGGAATGATTATTAAATGGAAAAGGGTGCAACTGCTGCATGCCAACTCCTGTCAGCTTTTCAGACCAAGTGGATAACTGGAAAGAGTGGCAACTCATACTGCAAAACAGCACGTGAAGCTACAAAGCCTGGCTAACAGGAGCACTGTGTGGGCAAGGACAAACAGCAAACATTTCCAGGGTTCCCAGAAAGAGAAAACGCTTTAAGGAACAAGTGTACCAAGGCTTTGCACATCAGAGAAGCTTTTCATAACTTAGGCTTGGTTTTCTGAGGCTTTGAAGTAGCACCAGAAGGTGCAGGAAATCTGTAAGACTCATTTCAAGGACAGTCAGACTCTTGTATTTATTCCTGCAGAAAGTCTGGTCTCTGACACCACTTACATGTGGCAACATCTTACGTATGTACATTTATTGCTAATGTAACGATGTTATTGAAGATCAGAGGGCAGCAGAATTCCCAAAATACCTTCCAACACCAAATAGGCACCTCACCTCCAGCTCACAGAATATCACAGGACTGCAGTAGTCTTCTCCCAGTTTCCAGATGGCATTCATCTCTACGCTGCAGTTGTTCACCCTGCCAACTACAGAAGTTTTCTGCATTACAAGCCCCATTATCAACATCCAGTGAAGAAAAGTACCAAGAAATTCTGCACGTACAAAACGACTCACAGCTAATTTTGACAGCATCATAGAAGGTAAAGCAACAGCAAGCAGAACAAACTGAATGGTACAAGATGCACAGTGGAATTACCACAGAAGCCTTCCATAATACTGACAGCAGGAATAGTGTTGCCACATTACTGAGTACTGCAATGTTAACATTTGGGATAAGGGATCAGACAGTACTCTATCAGCAGGACAGAATCATCCACTCGTTAATCAGAAGGCCTGACAGAGCATTCATGTCTCCAAGGGCCTCACTCCACCAGGAGAACCATAGCACAAGACTACACAAAGGCTCTTTCTCACCCCTAAATTAGGCCTTCTGAATCCTAAATTCTAGGGACACAGCACCTCTTTTACAACACCCCGCAAGATGTGCTGGCCCTCTCAGTTCCTCAGATCTACAGAGAAGTGATGCAGGAAAGTACCCTCTTCACTCAGGGGAGGGAGAGAGAGAGAGCGAGACAAAGAGACAAAGAAAATTATATGAGACACAATGGGGCCAGACAGCACACAACAGGGATCACAGTCTCGTACTAAAAACCGTACTTAATAGTTTAGTAGCTTATCCACTTAAATTCATTTTATTATCACAGTATCATATGCTCCTCACTGCTAATTGAGACTATCATTAAGACTGATCTGCTGGAACAGATACAACAGCATTCTGGAATGGCACAGAAAAATAATTTTAAATTAACATCACAATTCATATTCAGGAATGAGAGAAAGGAGATCTGAATGGAAAAAGCAAAAAGGAAAGGGCAAGTGAGAGAAGAGAATCATGTTACCCAAGGAGAAAAAACAAGCAAATGAGCTCAGATATATTCAAACAAAGCTTTGATAAATCTACTGGCTGCTTTTGTTCAGTTTCAAATTAAGCCACTCCTTTGCTTTAAGGAACGCAATAGTGAGCTGTTCTGCTCAGAGGGGAGGGACGGGGCAGATGCCATACGTACCCCCTGTGACAAGGAAGCACACTTTTCCCAGGAAGAATCTGACATCCACATAAGCTAGTGAAGCTTGAACATTCTTCAAGCTGTCAGAAAAGCACAGACAATCCAGTTGGACAGGGAGGTAAAACCAGCACAGCATGAGGACAAAAGGAATAACTTTCAGAAGCACAGTTGGAAAACCCGTGATGTTAACATCTGCTGATTTGTGAGCCAGCAAAATTATGCTAAGAGCATGGCATCAGGAACCTCTGGACTACCCACAGCTGTTTAATAACCCATAAAATATCCTTTCAGCTCAAGACTCAACAGTTAGGCTTAGTTTGAATGGTGTCCTAAAAGGTTTGCGAACGCTAAGCGTCCAAACTCATTAACATCCAATGAGACTTCAGCACTCCTTAGGCTCTTTCAGAAAAGCAAACCCACACATTTCTGCAGCACCATCTGTGCTGTAAGCATGCAGCTGGGCCTGTCATTTTGGTAAATGAGAGCCCAGGATCATCAAAAGTTGAGTAAAAAGATGCTGACTTTCGTGATCTAGCAAATCTTTGCTAATGGCCTGGGGACACAAATATGACTTCTACAAAGATGAGAGAAAAGACATCAGCCCCTGCAGACCTTTCCTTTCTGACTGGAGACTTATGTAGAGCTGATGCCACATGGTCAGCAGTGCCAGTGAAATGGGAAAATGGGCAGAGCAGCTCGCTGACTATTAGGTAGAGATGCTCTACCACAGCAAGTCTAGGGTTTAAAAATCCAGTGATTCCAACATAGTAAAAGTGTAGATTTATGCATGAATTCAAGAATACCAGTTTGCTCCCTTGTATTTGTGCCTTTCTTTTACCTGTATTTGCTCTTGATGTCAATAACAAATGCAATCAGATCTATCCTGGGCCGAAGGTGATCCCTCTCTGGAGGTAAGGGGAGGGATGATGCAAGGTGGCTGAAAGAAAATAAATTTGCCAGTTTAACAAAAAGTTTGGCAAGGCAGCATCCACTTAATCATAACCACACAGCCACTGCAGCTCACCACATAGCACATAACCAGGAAGCCAGCTAACTGTGAAATAATTGGGCACCAAGGAGATATGGAGATTTTTTTGGATTCTCAGCTCTCTCTTAAGCTGCTGGCAGCCACATACTTTCTAATCCCAGATGTTTAATAATGGGAGGCTTAACATAAAAAGGCTCCTAGAGAAAAAATTGTCCTTATAGATGTGTACGGCAGTCATAGCATTTAACTCTTAATAGACCTTTCCAATTAAGCGAGCTCTGATGCTCCACAAATATATTTTGCTATACTGCTTTCTCAAGTGAGAAATCAGATACGTATCACTTGTATAGCTTTATAGGGGAAGTGCAACTGGGGGAGAGCTCAGTGCTCCCGTGATACCACTACTCTTCCTTTCACTGCCTCAGAAGTTACAAGGATAGTTCAGGTGTTCTCTTACACCATAGTGCCACTGGTGATGCAGCTGTGGGAGGAAACACAGGGCTTGCATCCCTTCCAAAGGCATCTGTAGTGTACAGAGTATCACAGAATGGACAAAGTTGGAAGGGATCGGGGAAGAATACTAACATCACCACATTTTTTTGGAAGATTATAAAAAAGATAGACTGGAAGAACAAAACTCCCAAGATTTCCATCTCTTTCTCAACACGCTTCATCTCTAGAAGCCAAAAAAGAAACTGCTTTTGTCCTCCTTGGGGAGAGCCACTTGTAGCAATTAGTCTTAGAGACTGCAGTATTTGTCCCAGTTTTCTTTTATCCACGCACAGTTTGTAGCTTTGTCTGCCAGTCTCTGAACGAAGGTGTTTTGTTTCCTATAAACAAGGAAGAAAACACTGAACAGAAGCATCCCAAAACAGCACAAGATACGAGCCAGGCGTGACTAAAAGGCGTGCTGTAATACAAACATCACCACACACTGATGGTGAGATCTAGGGAACAAGAAACGTCAGGAGCCTCCAGACACGTGCTAAGAGGTGTCAGTGCGAGGGGACACAAAACCCTGCAACATCTGTAGGAAATGGGATGTGCAAGTGCCAATTACTTCCACCCCCGCTTCCAGTGACAACCAAACCTCTTTCCCAGAAAGCTGGCCGTACATCAGTGGGGCAGAACCACAAAAAGCGGAGCAGCGCCACCCTTCCCCCCGCTCACTCACATGCTGATGTTGAAGTCCTTCTTCTCGCACAGCATGGCCTCGGCGAGCTGCTGCTGCGGGCCGCCCTCCGCGCCCACCAGCTGCGGGGCGACAGGCAGCGGTCACACGGGGTTAACTCATTTGCATACGGCAGCCCATTCCGGCAAAGGGATGGACCCCCTCATTTGCATACGGCAGCCCGGCGGCCTATCCCGGGATCATATCTGCATACAACGGCTCAACGGAGGGGAGGAGGGGCGAGGCCACCGCCGCCGTTGCGGCCGAGGATATGCCCGCCGGGGGCTGAGCGCTGGGCCAGCTGGGCCGGGCCGAGCGGATCCCAACCGGACCTCAAAGAGCTAGAGGACTGGGGACTCCCGGGGCATCGCAGACTTACCAGTATGGTAGCGCTGTTGAGCTCCGGCAGCTTATCGAAGGGCCGCAGCACCGCCATCCCCACCGCCGGCTGCGCGGCAATTTGAAAATGGCCGCCTTGCGTGACGTCACGCTGGGGGCGGGGCGGGGCAGGCGTGCGCTTGGCGGGGAGTGCGCCGATAACGTCAGTGGCGATGGCGCTGCTGGGGCTGCGGACGTAGGGTGGGGCGAAGCGGCGGCCACCGGCGTGGTGGCCGGCTTTGGGAAAGGCTGGTTCCTCGTCCCCGGAGCGGTCCTTGCCCTGGGCTCCGTCCTGCTCTTTCTTGGCTGTCCCCGTGCCTCGCTCGGTGCTGCACACGCACTGCGTGCAAAACTGCGGCGGCCATGGAACTGTCATCGCACGGAGGAGCTCAACAGTGAGGCCGGGGCGTGCGGAAGCCTCGATGCCGGCTCCCGTCCCTGCGCTGCTCGTCGCCCCGCGCCCCGCTCTGCGGAGCTCCCCGTGCACAGAGACTGACACGGATACGCGGACGCGTTTTCTCCTCCGAAGAGCCCTGCAGGGGGCTGCGATGGAGGCTGGCATCACTCCTGCTTTGATCCTGACAAAGGCAGACGGCTCAGCTCGTCGCCAGCGCCGTGGCAGGTGAAGCAGAAGTGATGGCGGATATTTCTGGCTGCCGCAGCGGTCGGCGGGGGGAAGGGAGGCTGCGGTCAGGGCAGAGCTCTGCTTTCGGCCAGAACAGCGTTCACAGCGCGGTGATGGTTTGGTTGTTGCCGAGTGATGGAGGCATTTGCCAGGCTGGGAAGAGCCACTGCCTTTGTGGCATTGTAAAGCCACGGGGAGCTGGCCAGGGGAAGGCCTCCTCGGGGATTGCTGGGTGTCAGCTGGTGGGTGGTGAGACCTCACTTATGCTGGCAGTCAGAGGACAGTTGTGTTGCTGCTGGTCAACAGTCTGCAAGTGGTTGCATTGTGACTACATACATATACATATATATATATATATATGTAGTTATCATTGCCTATCTATTTCTGTGTTCCTCTTCTGTGTTAATAAATAGTTTTTATCTCAACCTGCGAGTTCTATTCTGCTTCCAGTTCTCTCCCTCATGGAGAAGTGGGCCCATGAAAACTGAACGAGGTTCAATAAGGGCAAGTGCAGGGTGTTGCACTTGGGTCAGGGCATTCCCAGGTATTTATACAAACTAGGGGAAGATCTCCTCAAGAGCAGTCCTGCAGAGAAGGACTTGGATGTCCTGGTAGATGAGAAGCTGGACATGAGCCAGCAGTGTGCGCTTGCAGCCCGGAAGGCCAACTGTGTTCTGGGCTGCATTAAAGAAGGGGTGGCCAGGAGGAACAGGGAGGTGGTTGTCCCCCTCTACTCAGCTCTTGTGAGGCCCCATCTGCAGTACTGTGTCCAGGCCTGGGGCCCTCAGTACAGGAAGGACGTGGAGCTCCTGGAGCGGGTCCAGAGGAGGGTCACTATGATGATCAGAGGGCTGGAGCACCCCTCCCATGAGGAAAAGTTGAGGGAACTGGACTTGTTTAGCTTGGAAAAGAAAAGGCTCCTGGGAGACCTCATTGTGACCTTCTAGTACTTGAAGGGAGCTTATAAACAGGAGGGGGAACGGCTGTTCATGAGGGTGGATTGTGACAGGACAAGGGGGAATGGTTTTAAACTGAGACAGGGAGGTTTAGGTTAGATATTAGGGGGAAGTTTTTCACTCAGAGGTGGTGATGCACTGGAACAAGTTGCCCAAAGAGGTTGTGGATGCCCCATCCTTGGAGGCATTCAAGGCCAGGCTGGATATGGCTCTGGGCAGCCTGGTCTGATGGTTGGAGACCCTGCCCAAAGCAGGGGGTTGAAACTAGATGATCGCTGTGGTCTTTTCCAACCCAGGCCATTCTGTGATTCTATGATTCTATCCCACCTGGGAGACAGTGTACAGCCGCATGGTGCTGAGCTGCTGCCAGGTTATGGCACAACTGCACGGTACCTGTGGGCACCCAGGCAGCTCCCAGCAGCCCCACGCTGCCAGCAGAGCTTTGTGGGACATGAGTGCACTCATCAGGGTGCCCTTGCTCTCTCCCAGCAGGTGCAAGTGATGTAATTTGCTGCAAGTGCATGTTATTAGGGAAACTAATGACATTTGCACATATGTTGCTGGCAATTTCGACTTCCTTTGGCAAAGGTTCCCCCCGGCTGTCTTTAGACTCAGTATAAGTCAGCTTTTTCTGTTATGCTCTTTATTTTAAAGTGTACATTTCTGTGTCTTTTTGAACAACTCAGCAAAGCTTCCCAATGGGTTTCTTGACCTAAAGCCCCAGTGGCATCCAGAGCTGGGGATCCTGTGCCTTTTGCTGGGGTTTTGTTCTCCACTGAGGAACCGGGGGGGGTGGAGGGTTTCCATTGGCACACAACAACAGGGAATATTTACCTGAGGTTTCCTGACCATTTCCTTTTTCTCCATTCAGGGTTTTTGCTAGGTCTGATATCAAATCTCTTGTGGATAAGGATGTGACTGCACAAGGACATGGAGGAAGCCAGGGCTGGGAGCAGGCTGCCCAAGGAGGTGGTGGGATCACCATCAGTGGAGTTGCTCAAGAACCATGTGGATGTGGCACTGAGGGATATGGTTAGAGGGCGTGATGGGGGTGGGCTGACAATAGGACTGATGATGATCTTAGAGATTTTTTCCAGCCTTGAAGATTCACTTGTTCTATAACCTGATCAGTTCTCCCAGAGTGCGTAGTTCCAGGCAGCATAGCCACTCCTGTGCTGCTGGGCTGCTCCAGCAGGCCCACACACAGGGATTCCTGCCTGGAGCCACTCTTGTGGGCGCAGAGTGGGACAGTCTGTGTGTAGGTATGCCTGGGACATGCCAAGTGGCTTGTAGCAGCTGTACTCATAGTGAGAGCTGAGCTGCAGCTGCAGTGTTTCCATGTGGCTGAGCTGCACGTGGCACGTCAGTGCTTGCTTGCTGAGAAACCTCTGATGTGACAGCACCCGAGAAACAATCACAAGCAGCGAGCTGTTGCCACGGCACCTGAGGCATGACTCCACTGGCTGCATGGGGCTGCAGCGGGCAGAAGGATGGGAAGGAAGCCATGCACAGCCTTGCCTGATAGCCGTGCAGGACAGTGTGGGATGGGTGAGTGGCAGTGTGTCACCTGTCATCGGTGCCAACAGGAACACGTGGGCCACAGGTTTCTTGAGGAGAGGGCTCACACCCCTTTGCACCTGAAATGCAATCTTCTGCAAAGTCAAACCTCGCCCCTCCCGGGATATACGGATCTGGGTGTATACGGGCTCCACTTCAGGGCTCGGATGGTGCTGCGGTGCTTATTAGTCCTCCAAACCCCACTGCAGAGGGCAGCAGGGCTGGAAAAAAAAAAAATAAATAAGGAAGAGAAAGCAAGCAGCTGGGTCGTTCCCATCTGCATCAAAGCTACTGCCAGACTGGGAATGGATTCGTGCAGTCTCAGAACAGCTTCTGCCGTTATCCCAGTACCGGCTGCAGCGGGGCTGCTCCCAGCTCGGTGATGGATGCAATTGTCCCTCCTCCGGGTTTGGGGGGGGGGAGAGGGAAGAGGGGGGCTCTGGGTGAGCCCCGAGCTCCCCGCGGGAGGAGGCTGCTGCTGTCCCCGCCTCCCGCTGCCGCCCCGCGCTCCGCTTCGCACCGGCCCCGGCAGAGGCAGCGCGGAGAGGGGCCCCGTTCATCCCGGGGGGAGCGGCCCCATCCCGCCGCCCGCGGCCGAGGGAGGAGGTAAGGGGGCGGGGGATGGGGGTGATGCATGGGAACGGGGTGCCCACCACTGGGCTGGGGGGCGGGGGGAGAAGGAGTGCAAAGGGGTAAGCCCACTGCTGCCCGTTTGTGCCCCCATCGCCTGCGTGCAGGAAGGCACATCTCTGCTGCGTGGGACTCGCTTCGGCACCGCTGAGTGTCCCATCTCTTGCAGATCCCTTTCCATGCCACTGCTTGCAGATAAGCCCCCCAGGGCTATGGCAGCTGTGGCGCTCTGTCTTTGAGAGGCTGCGGGCGCCCCACAGGGATGCTAAGATGCACCAGTCTTACGATGGTTAAAGCACATTTAAAATCTGCAGAGCTGCTCCAGAAAGGTGACATCTTCTCAAATGAAAGTCCCTCTTTTCAGCACTTGAAAGCAGATGATTGTGAAAGAAAACTGGGATAAACGCTCAGAGATGACAGCAAAATGGGGGGCAAAGCAAAACATTCTGAAAGCAAAAGAATATGGTATGAGGAACCAAAACCTGCTGAGCTCTCCTCTCCCATCATAGCAGAGCAGATACAAATCCAGAATCTATGCCAATAGGTGGGAGGGAATAGTTTTTTTTTCCCTCTGATGCTGGCAATTTCTTGCTTATGTTAGCAAGAATCACAGCACATTTCAGATCTAACCCTGTGCTACAAAAATGTTCATCAGAGGGCAGAAATAGAAGTCACATTCATGTGCTCCTTGCTGGGAGCAAGGATGGGGACTTTTGCTGCCGATCCATTGAAAGCTGTGGTATTAAAAAAAAAAAAAAAAAAAAAAAAGAAGAAGAAGCCCACAGACATAAGGTCCCAAGGGAACCAAAATGAGGCCCAGGCACATGATGGAATCAGAGAATCATAGAACCATACAAAGGTTTGGGTTGGAAGGGACCTCGAAGCCCATCTTGTTCCAAGCCCCTTCATTCACAGCTTTTCCGGGCAATCTGTTGCAGCATCACATGGAGCATGAAGTGGGAGGCAGGAGGTGTGGTGGGACCCATTGCTTGTGGTGGAGCTGCTTTCTGGGTGCTCCACAAGCTGTCTTCCCTTTTCTCCAGCAGCCATGCCGCACTTCTTGGACTGGTTTGTGCCTGTGTACCTGATGATCTCCATCCTCATCCTGGTGGGCTTTGGAGCCTGTATTTACTACTTTGAGCCTGGCCTCCAGGAAGCCCACAAGTGGCGAACGCAGAGGCCGATCATGGAACGAGACCTTCGGAAGACGCTGATGATTCGGGACAACCTGGCCTTTGGGGTGCCCGAGGTCTGATGTGCCCACCAGGTGGATGGAAGGCCAGAGGTGGCGGGAGGGGACT